TTTAAATTGGTTTCCATTTTAGTCCCACGAGTACCGCGGTTAAGCGTTTTCACCTGGTGCATTGCCGCGATTGCCCAGGGCTTGGCTTGTCTCGGGTGGGTTACACCCAAGACTACTCTCAGAGGTCGCCCAGGTTTCTGAGAGGCACCGTTAGCGACACAGCTCCCCCTGTGCCACGCATCCTTAGGCACGGTATGGCCGAGGCCATGGCTTACGCCGCTCACACACATGGATTGGGTGGACTCCTCTTAGCGACCGCGGGCAGCGGTAGTCCTTAAGACCTCCACCGCCCGCGACCGAGCCCCCTCACTACGACAAAGTGGGAACCCAGTAGAGGGGGTGGTGGAGCCCCTTAGTATACTATAAAATTTTACAAAAACTTCACTACATTTGGAATTTATCAATCTACCATGGATTCTTTTTTTAAGAACATAGTAACAGGGATCGCCATCAATATTAAATTTCTGTAATATTCCAAGAATTTGACCCTTACATTAATGAAGGTTTAAAATATGTTGATCTAATTTTTCAAATAATATAATTGTAATAATCTGATTTTTCGTGAATAATGATGTATTGAAAATTTGTTAATATGTCAATCTTCCTACCTCAATTATTGATTGATAAAATAGTTAAAAATTGGAATATTTGAATTGATGATACTTGAGTACTCAAACAATTTAAGAGTGATGTTAACTAATTGATGGCTACGATATTTAACTGTAATTAAATATAAATTTGGCTATGCCTGCATAGAAAGAACCGTTTTCTCGTAAGATGAACACATCGCACTCGGGGACACTCATAACCCCCGTTTGGCCTATGCCTCGCGTGCTAGAAGCCCGCAATTCATTATTTATTATCTCTTCAACTGTGTAGTACAGCTAGTTACATTTTTTTTCAATAGTTGGAGAATATTATAAAATTACCGATGAAAGACCTAGGGACAATCGCAAGAGCCCCCATCAAAAAATATTTTTAAAACATATAATTCGGGCCAATTCCATATATTTGTCAAATTTATAAAAAATATATTGAAAAAAAAATTTTTTTGTTTTTTCGTGGACCCTCACGGGTTTTTACGATTTGTTGCCTTCCTACCCCCAACCCCTTGTACTGCATTCGTCAAGGGCCAAGGAAAAACCTCACTTGAGGGAGAAACTTTGACCAGGTACAGTCGTCCCTTGCGAGACTCTCACTCGGACCATGAATCTGAAAATTAGAGCGTTAAAAAATCATTTTGCCCCCCCCCCCCCCCCCCCCNCGCAAGCAGCTTGACAGTTGCTTTTTGAATCCCGCAGTGCAGTCTGAAGTTGCAGGCTTTCAGAACAGAGAGTGATCGCGGTCGTCTATCAGCGCATCGAAGTGGGCACTTTTCGCGTCCCTACTCTCACTGCCCCGAGCGACAACCNACTTTTTTAAAAATTTGTTTATTCAGCCAAGTGTTTTACATATGTTAATAACACTGATGTTGTTATTGTCTACGGAAAAAAACATGAGAAGACGTAGTTTCGCGCTCTAACCACACAGCCATCGCCGTTGGTATAAAGAGTATATAAAAAAATTTATGAAATACATGTTACATATATTTTTTATATAAAAAAACATTTTAAAAAATGATATTTTAAATATTTCTTTTTTGCTTTTTTTATATAAAATACATACTTCATACTTTTTTTTCATATTAATTGGCCCAATTGAAGAAATTTTTTTGTATATTTTTCAAAATATAAATTGTTGGGAAAAACCTATTTTCTAGGGATGTACCTTACCAAGTACCCTCTATATTAATCAAATTTCGGATTAGTTTTCTGCATTAATTAACATCGAACGTCCGGAAAAAATGAATGAAATCATCATTGAACAACTTTGTACTTTTAACGCGCAACTGAATACTTCGTAACTTTTATCGTTGCATAACTTTGCGAAAAACCTCGAATCTCTATCATCTCATTCAATCGTCCGTATTTGTGTATCGTAGTCTCATATGTCGGCACTAGCAACTTCTTACGTACGTTTTGGATTTAGAAGTGACCATCAACATAAACAATATTTGCAATATCGACTATTTTTTCACTGCTATTTTTTTCTGCACGATGCTCTTATCACATTGAAATTAAAATTCAATGCCAAAGTAGCAATGTAAAATTATTTTTATCTCCAACTTATTTTAACGTTCAAAAAGTTATCAACATTATCAGTTCAGTTACGATTACTCCTTGTGAATCTCAAGAAACTTCATCGAAAATGAATCCGGGGTGTATCAAAAATTTATGCTGACAGCGAGTGAAATAAATTCAATGGTGGAGTGGTCAGACGAGATAATTCAGTTCAATGTTAGACTGATTAGCACCGAATCTAGACGAGATAAGAACATTGGAATTTTTACTTGGTGTTTAATAAAATAAGGATTCCGAAACTTTGAACAATTTCAATTATTTATTTGTAAACAACGAATGTTTAAAAAATAATATTTCTGTGCAAAATGTAATTTTAATGACGTTAAATATTCATGGTTTTTCTCAAATTGGTCTCACGCAATTTAATTGACAAATTTGATGATTGAAAATGGTTGAATCTATAGTATAAAGCATCTAATTATGATGCTCAAGTTTTTCTTGTGAACCATTTTACAAGATTGGAATCGCTAGCTTTATGCTTAAAATAACAAATTCTAGTTTGTGAGACAAAAAATATGAACACTAAATTTTTCATTCGGGTACCAAAAAAGCGCTCAATTTTGAGTTTATCCTCATAAAAATCCGAGACCCTAGAACCGCCAAATTCACGGACCTGTGGTGATCTGCACTGGTAGGCGGAAAAAATAGATCAGGAAAAAATATCCCAGACACCCGAAACGTGCTAAAACCCACCCAACTTAACAATTTCACTTAGTCTATTTTTTTCGGGACGCATCTGTACCAAACTGTAAAAGACACTTGAATATCCTTAACCCTCGATCATTCGCGCTTGGTCGCCAGCCTTCATCCGCCGTACGGTTAGCGCAGCGCCGTTAAACCAAGCGCGCTGTTGCCACCTTGGCGCTTACCGCTATGCGCGCATTTCAATTGTGGCAGTGAATGTAGCAACACTGTTGCTCGAGCGGTCGGCAGGGACTCACTCGCACCGGGCGGCGCGGCGCCGCTGTTCGGTCCGTTCAACGTTTCTTTTCTTCTTTTAGCTAAACAAATTTCCCGATAAAAAACGGACAACGCCACCGCTTAATAAAATGATTGACCTAGGAACTCTAATTTTCTAAAACAAATTAAGCGCTGTGAAACACGCTAAAATATAAGAAAACGAAAACGGGTGACGCCGCGCTCATTGAGCGAGTGATCGAGTGTTAAATTTGAACGACTACAAAGTTTCCACTCAGAAGCAAAAGCTTGAAAAAACTTCCGAATTCTACAGAATCGGCGGAAAACGAAAACAATTTCCAATAGAATTCAAATGGAATTTCCTAGCGAATGCGCGAGTTTTTGCGACTACTTTTTTTCGCACGTGTTTACATTCACCGTGAATGCCAACCAATTATGTTCTTACTATTCCGCCAGTTTCCCGTCTCATTTCAATATCGATTGAAAATTGAAAAATTCGATTGCATCACCTTCGAGTGGGACTCAATGTCAAACTTCAAACTCAATGCTAAACTGATTTCTCATTTTATCACGCCTCACCTCTCATAAAATTCTCGGTATTGCAAAAAAACACCCAATGCTTTCCCAATCGTTAGAATTTTCCAATTTCACCCTGAACTGATCATTGTTTCTCCATTTTATTAGCAACAGGATAATAATCCTTGCGGCGATGGTCACTTATCCGGAATAATGCCGGACGTGGCCATGGCAACAGCATCGTTTGGGGCACTCCAGCTGGTGGAACAGCAGGAACTGGAGTTGGACCTTGGGGATGGTGCCTCGCATCTCCTCCAGCATGCCCAGAACTCCGTCAACAGTCTGGGACCCCATCATCCACTCCTGCCGCATCAACGACAGAGACACTTCCCCGGTCACCCACCGCCACCCTACATCTACCATCGTTCTAGTACTGGTTTACCTAGATTCATTTGAGATACGTAAAAATGAGGATGAGGGAGAGTTATACTTTCTGATGAGAGACTGTTCATCGAGAATATCTGCAACTGCAGTTGTTCCTCTGGGTAACTAGAATAGTAGCCTAATGGTAGAACTGTTTCTGTTGACGTGGCGTCCTGTGGTGAGTAAAGGAAAAGCGGAATGAAGAAAAAATTGGAAATTTGCATCCAATTATTTTTGAAATATTAGGGAAATGAGTGTATTTAGATGAAGATGTCGAGAAATGTTTTTAAAAGTACTAAATTGAGTTGCAGCATGAAAAATGTGAAATCCACATGTACATAATTTTCATAATGTCGGGGAAATTAGTGCAATATCAGGGAAATTTATCTAAAGAAAATGATGAATTACGAAGAGTGGATAGAAAATATTAGATACGCATCCACATTGTTTTCGAGATATGAGAGGAATTAGTAGAGTTAGATGAAGATGTCGAGCGAAATTTTTTGAAAAGTTCTAAATTGAGTTGCATCATGAAATTTGTTCACTAAACAAAATTATGAAATATGAAGATTGGATTAAAAATACTAGATACGTATCCACATTGTTTTCGAGATATCAGGGAAATGAGTGGATTTAGGGGAAGATATCGAGAAATTTTTCGAAAAGTACTAAATTGAGTTGCAGCATAAACTTTGTTTACTAAAAGATATGAGATGCGTATTTTTTTAAAATCATGAGGTTGTAGGAACGTCTTCATTCTGGCGGCATTCATAATGCAGACGTCGTCAATTGCCTATAACTTTTCAACTCTCCATTGTCTACCAGAATAAAAAAAAACGTGTGTAATATTCTTCAGTCAATTTTCGCATCCAGCTATTTAAAAAAAAAAATCATGGACAAGAAATGTTTTCTGATATTTTGTGCCAAGTCATTATCAAGATGATCAATCTGAAGATAAAGATAGAATAACTCACCTCAAAAATTAAATTTTTACGAATTGATAATAACCTCTGAAATTGATAGTTTCAATAGAAACGTTTCTTTTCTAAAGCACAATATTTTCTATACAAAAAGTCTATCGATCGAGATATGAGTAAATAATATAATTATTCATATAACAAATGATTTGAAGAGAAAACATCTTGAAGCTTTCCTGGAAAAATTAACTTTTTTACAAGAAAAGTTTTCTGATAAATTTTTTCAAATTAACTGCTTCCAAAGACGTCTTCAGAACAATCAGTAAATCTACTTTTGACTTTTAAGGAAAGTTGAAAGTTGAAGTTATAGAAGGACACATCACGAATTTTTTTTTCTGGAGGATGAAATTTTCAACAGGAAAAGTTTCCTGCGGAGTTTCTTTAAACCCACTCCTTCCAAAGATGTCTGAAAAATAATCAGCGGAACATTCTATACAAAAAATTTATTGATCGACGTGATTCATATAAGTAATACAATGATTAATTTTAAAAATAGAATCTCTATCAATTGATCATTATTTAGGGAACGAATCATTGTAGAAGAAAACATCATGATTTTTTTTTGTGGAGAATGAAATTTTCTACGGAAAATTCTTATGATGAATTCCTTCAAACTCACTCCTTCCAAAAATATCTGGACAAGAATCAATAAATCCACTTGCAATCTCTCATTTCCTGGGCTCAAATTTTCCATTTTTTCTGTTTGATTTTCTTGATGAAAAAAAAAAGAAAAATAGAATTAAAAATACTTACAAAATTTTTGCCTAGGAAATTGTACAGAAAATATCTCAATGGAATAAGTTGCATAGAAAAATCGAATTCGATTGACTTTTTTTATAGAATATATTCTATTGAGTATTTCAATAGAATCGGCCAAAAACAAATACAAACTTTCAATAGAAATCCAATAGAATTGTCTAGCGAATTCGCTACGATTTTCTATGAAATTTTTTCATAAGTGCAAACCTTTCAATCCGATGGAATTCGCTGCAAAAAGCTCTCTTGATAATTCCTTCGAGTCATTCATTACCGAGATATTTTCATACCCACAAAGACGTGACCTGTCCACACAAATAGTTCTAACAATTGTCTTCTAAAAATCAAAGAATATTCTCTATTTTACTCTGTTCAATGAATAAAATCGATGATTGCTCTCTGTGCAGTTTAATCGATGCAAACTCAATGCATGACAATTTTATCATTTCCTTCAAAATAATCTCTAGGATGAAGCATTTCTACGTAAGAGAAATAAAAAAATGGCTGTTATATATATTTTGACAAGTAATACTTAGTAATTAGTGGGGAAAACAATGGTCAGCAGGGACTGTGCTTCGTAATATGTATCCGTGTAAATGTAGGCCCAACTGCGAGGTGTTTAGGGTTTATTTGTTGGCCACAAAAAATGATAAAACATGAAAAAAAAAATTACAAAGATGGCATCATTAATATTGGACCAATCTAAATATTATCGCCTAGGTGTAGTGGAATAATGTAATAATAGCCATGTTGAAGTATGGACAGTTATTGACGTTTCTTCCAGTTCATTTTAAAATACTTTGCCGGTTGAGGAAATATTAATATCGAACGTGTTACAACAGTAGGGGGTCATTCTTTTGATTATTCATAATCTTACTTTCTCGCTGGCGTACTTCAACATCGACACAGCATTCTCTCAACAAAACAACTCATTACGGATTATGGAATTCTTCAATTTGTTGATACCCTTGATTTTTTGTATTGAGACATTATCTGCAGAATTTATAGTCCTTACATTCTCATTATACGATATATATGTTGAATTCTACTAAATTGTCATTTACCCAGCCAATTACACGTCGTGCAATGTGAATTCCAGATTGTTTAATTTTTTTTTGTTTAATTTGTTTTGTGCAATTTGATGCGATAATTGAAGCATATGGAATCCTTTTTATTTTGGATTCTTCATAGATTCCACATGTTTGAATTATACACAGAGCAAAAATCGTAAGAAAAATGGCTGGACAATCTAGGTGATGGGGGAGCGAAATTGTGTTTTAGGAATTTCGATTTGAAATGAAGGAAAAATTGGAGGCAAAGAATGACTGTTGGTGAAAAAGTATGAGAGACAGAAATCTGTTTAGTCATTTTTGGTGCATTTTCCTTGCAACTTTTTGTTGATTTTCTTCAGCGTGTAATTGCCCACACTAAATTGAACATTAACAAGTTTTTATTCAGTAGCAAAGCGGTAATCGTTGAAGTCGATTTTGACTATTGGCCAATTTTCAATGAATATCTCGAAATCTGAGAGGGACACCTGAATTTTTGGAATGAGCCTATTTATAGTACTCAATTTACGCTACAAAAAAGGTCGGTACAAAAAATTCATTATCTCCTTTACATTGAGAGATATTCCTCGAAAACTCAGCTAACAGCAAAGTCGACTTGAATAATTTTACCGCTTCACTATTAAATTATACAATGTGGACTTCAGATTGCACAATGATGGCACATTACAATTTAATAGACTTCAACAGAAGAGAGTGAAAAGTTTATCAACTACATAAATGTTGACTATTCGATCAGATACAAAAAAGAACAGTTAAAAACAGCCGAAAACAGTTGACATTTTATGAGAAGAAACGATCGAAATTATCATTTAATGTGGTTTATGATCTACTTGAATTCTTGACATCTTTGTTGATAAATAAACATATGGAGATTTAGAGTTTACAGCAAATGATTCACTATCGCCTATCTATATCGTGTAATAAGAACGATGAGATGACAATTTTTGTGAACAAGTTCTCAATGCAAAACATCCTATGTATAAAAAAATGAAGAGACTCCATAATGTCTAGCAGGTAATTCTGTCGAGAAAACGCTGGTTTGATGAGGAAGTATTCTCTTTCTCGCTTCTTCATGTCCTATTATATGATTTGTATGTGTGTTATACCGTTGATTAGAGAAAACGGTAATTTATTCCAAGTTCAATGCAAATCTACGACATTGGGTTCATTCTTTTTTGAAATCACTGCCATTATGATAGGTGAATATAGTTTGAGATCGAGCATCATTACTCGAGCGGTGAAAGTCCCAAAACAGGATAAGAATTATTGATAATTATCAGTGGGTTTTTCCATCAATTCTCATTTAATGAGACAGGGATTGACTTTTTATTGACCTGCAATTGTCATCAATTTTATCTAACGGTAGGCAGAGCTGATGAACTCTCTTCTTACAGAGGAAACGGGTTTCTTAGATGAAAAAAAAATCTTGCCGCAAACTTTTTCTTGATTAATGCAGTGAAGGTTTAGGAGAAAATTGGGACTTTTTTGAGACAAAGATGAGTGATTCGCAGAATATTATGTAATGATATTAAATATTATTATTTGTTCTTATTACAATCAATGATAGCTACGATGTTTAATCATTGATTATAACAAAGGCCGGCGTGTATTATTTTTTGAACGTGATCTTGGTTGTTTTTTTTTATTTCCATAATCTGAAATATTCTTCAATTGCCATTCAGTTTTACATAGCTCTGGAGTCTGCAAAATTATGATTGTACGATCAAAAAAACGTTGAACAAATGCAGAACATTTTCGAGGAGTATTTTTTAATAAAATTGGCAAATAAACCCAACAGAGAGAAAATTGCAAATAATAATTCAATGTATCTAACGTCTCTTAGGTCGTCATTTGTCATTGCAGTCAATGGTTGTCAAATCATCAGTTGCCATGATGAAATGATCACATATTTTTAAATATTTAAGGGCCGGCTGGATTATCTTTTGAAGGTAATCTTGATTGTTTTTTTAAATTTGATCATCTGAAATGATCTCCCATTGCTGTTCAGTTTTACGTAGCCCTGGAGTCTCCAAAAATTATGATTGTACAATCAAAAAAACGTTCAAAAAATGCTGAACCTTTTCGAGGAGTATTTTTGAATAAAATTAGCAAATAAACCCAATAGGGAGAAAATTGCAAATAATAATTCAATGTATCTAACGTCTCTTAGGTCGTCATTTGTCACGGTAGTCAATGGTTGTCAAATCATCAGTTGCCATGATGAAATGATTACATATTTTTAAATATTTAAGGGCCAGCTAGATTTTCTTTTGAACGTAATCTTTGTTGTTTTTTTTAAATTTGATCATCTGAAATAACTTCCCATTGCTATTCAGTTTTACATAGCCCTGGCGTCTCCAAAAATTATGATTGTACATTTAAAAAAACGTTGAAAAAATGCTGAACATTCCCAAAAAGCATTTCTGAATAATATTGGGAAATAAACCCAATAGGGAGGAAATTGCAAATTAATAATTCGATGTATCTAATTGCTGTTAGGTCGTCATTTGTCACAGTAGCCAATGGCTGTCAGATCGTTAGTTAAAATGATAAATTATCCATTCACTGTTTCGTCTCTATCGTACTTATTGTACAATCATAATTTTTAGGGGCTCCTGCGTGATATATAATCCAATAAAAATTGTGATATATTTTACGTTATGAAGACGGAAAAACAATC